TTTAGTAGAGATGGAGTTTCACCACATTGGCCAGGCTGGTCTTGAACTCCTAATCTGGTGATCCACCTACCTTGGCCTCCCAAAGCGTTGGGATTACAGGCATGAGCCACCATGCCCAACCAGGTATTTTTATTGTTAAAATATTTTTGTAAAGGAAAAATTAGTTCAATCTCTTTCCTTTATTTGCCTTTGCCTCAGACTTTTTTTCTTGCCTTTATTTCATTTTATTCCACTTCCAATTATTATATTGAATGTCTTGGTCAAATTTTTAAACTTGAATTTACCAATACTGCTTCTCGTCTGATTCATTTATTCCCTCATAACAACTGTCTTGTTCAAGTTGTTTTCTGTGTGTTTGCTATTTTGTTGATACTTGCTTCTCTTGTACTCTTGTTCTTTCAGTCAACATTTTATTGAAGTTAGTTATTTACAGATTTTCTCAGGCATGTAAAATCCATTAACCATCTACATAACTGTTTTATCTTTATGATTTCAATGCCTTTTAAATTCAACTGTTTTTTTGAGGAGTTTCTATTCTTTCTGAAAATTTTGAATTCCAAAGAGAATGGATAATTAATCCTTAATAAGTAACTCAGTATCTTAGTTTTCTTAAAGAAACTTATTTAGATTGCAGATCTTTAAATTAACTTAGCACATTATGTTGTCATTGCTTATAAAATCTATCTTTAGTGGACGCAAACAAGAATTACTTTAAAAACCTATATGGAGAGGTTAGATTTTATACCTAGTACATAAATCTCTTGATTCAAAACATTTGACAAAAATGCCATAAGTTGAAATTAAATTATCTTTCACTGAAGCCAATTCTCCAGCAGTATCAGTAGTAGAACTGGGGCTCTTTCCCATTCCAGTCTGTTGCTCTAATAAGCAACATGGGTGTGTACAGGTGAGATTTTCATCCAGTTAGCATTCATTCAGAGGGCTACATATTCTAAACCTTTCTAACTCAACAAAAGCAGAGTATGCAAACATTCTACACGGTGCACAACTACAGATAGTTGATGAATAAATGTCAGGAGCTAAACATAACTAGAAAAAGCTGTAGAACAAAAAACAGACAAAATCGTAAAAGGGCTAGATCTGGAAAAAAACATTCATGAAGATCATGGATTTTAGAGTTTAGACCCCTGATTCAACTCTACTTATGCATAATCTGTTTTGGAACCCATGGCATATGCCACTATTTCCAGTCACTGATCCAAAATTGAGTTCCATCCTGGAATGTTGTGGTTTCCAAATACTAAATTGTTTACCAGATATAGAACAATACAGATTTTTCATCAACTTACCCAGGCCTCTTCTGACCACCATTTCCTTAGTATCCTAACAAGAAATTCTGAATTTCTCTTACTGGTATCTAAGCTCACAGGCTGATGTGAATTTGTCTTCTTTCTCACTGAGGAGATTTCCCTGCTTTCCCATGCCCTGCATCATTCTTTCATCCCTAGGGCCTGATCTTTCCATTTCCTGTGGGGTAGATGCTTGGCCCAAATGTGTGTAATTATGAAGTTTCCCTTGGGATCTGGGGTGGTGGGAGGGGATAGTTCTTGGTGCCTGGTGCACACAGTTTGTGTCTCAGGAGAAGAATCATAGAAAACAATTAACTGAGCATTTGTCAAAAATACTGGCACGTGCACATGTCTTAACTCCCCAAAGATTTGCCTTCTACTTTGCTAACCTCAGGATACTGGCCAGCCAGATGGAAAGACTGCCAAGCACATCCAGCTAATGTAGCCAGAAGGCCACTCCATTTGAGTATCTGGAAATCATTCTTTCACTCACTTGGGAGGTTCTGGGGCCTCTTTATTTCCTCAGAAACAAGGCCCACCCCAAAGATTTCAAGAGCACATTGCAGCCCAGTCTCCACAAGTGAACAAGCTGTAAGAGTTGGAAATCTGCAGCTCCTCTCCTGCTCTATTTAAGGCAATACATTCTTTTCCCAGCAACATAGGTTTACAGCCTCCCAAGATCCTTCTCATGAAAGGCAATAGAATGCAGTGTCAAGTTAAGTTAAGATGAGTGATTAGAGAAATCTGTAGCTACTGAGAATGAGGTTCCCAGTTGAATATCAGAAGCAACCACAGAAGGTGAGGGTTTGCCTCTTTTCCATCTGTTGTCAGAACTAATGAAGAGAAGCAGAAGGCATTGATTTGCTTCTCAAATTCCCAGCTCCGCTTCTCACTTGCCAATAATGATGCACTGTGTAGGGGATGAATCTTCACCCCCATATCTCTTCCCTTGTTTTGGTGGTGGGCTGGCCACATCCAGAAGGGAAAGTGAAGTGAAATTCCCTGAATGTAGATGGGTAGGCAAGATTCTACCAAGGTCAGTCCTTGAGCAGGAGAGCTCCTTTACCTGCAGCACCTCACCAGAATGTTCGCAAGGCAATGATATCGATATGAAAATAAACCCCATCTTTCACTCTGCACTTTTCTCCTTCTTGCCTCAGATTAAAATGCCCCCCTTTATAAAAAAATCAAGCAAATATAATAAAGATAAAAAAGTGACCGACAGAAATTTAGTGGAAATAAATTTATACTTAACTCTTCCTCCTCGCCACCCCTTCCATTCCTTAAATTGGAAACAATACTTCAGTAATGGTCTTTCTAATACATAAATGTAACCATATCACTTTCTTGCTTTAAAATCTACAACTGTTATTTAAAGTCAAGTTAATGGTCTTTAGCATAATACTCCTCCATAACCCCCACCCCTGCCAAACTCAAGCCATGCTGAATTATTGCAGCTCCTTAAATCATCAGGTACCTTTAGAGTTTCCACGCCTGCACACAAGCCACTCCCTATACTTGAAATGCCTTTATTTCACTGGTCTTGCAAAACTGCTAATTTAAAATGTCATTCAGATGTCCCTTCATTTGAAAATCTTCTCCAATTCTACCAAGAATAGCACTTGCTCTCTTTACACCATGGAATTGTGTGTGTATCTCTTTTATAACATGATATTATATTGGTTTTGTTACTGCTGTTTACTTGCATGTCCCTCCTGGTGGACTGATGTCTTTGGGGGCAGGGGTTTAGTGTTATTGTCACATTAACCCCAAGGTTTCTGAATGACTGCAGTGTAGTAGGTTCATTACACTGTTGCAGAATGAATGGACAAAACTGGTAAATATAACTCAACTTTATATATATTTCCCCATTTTCTAAACTCTCACCTTAAGAAAGATGCTTTTTCCTCTTTTTCCACATTTTGTTGAAGTAGTACAGTCTTTCATCTCTTCCCCTTATTCCCATTCTAAATTATTGATTTTATAGTTTTTTGGAAAAGAAGGTATTTGGCACAGCATCCTTCTCTCTACTGTCACCATCATGGCTAAATTCTCCTATCAGAGATCCAGAGACCTCAGCTTCTGTCAAGCAGCCTTCTCTCAAGGCCGCAGCACTCCCTGGGGTCTGTGCTCCCTCTTATTCATTGCACTGGGGCCCAAGAGTGAAAAACACTTCCCTTTATGACCAATCCCTTGGTTATTCTCCCTTCAAATGTGTAAACAGTCCCTTCGTTAAATGCGATTTACCCTTTGAATGAGCCATTTCTTTCCTGCCTCGACCCTGACTGATACTGTGGTCAACAAATAATAATAATTGACTTACTATGTATTAATTAATCTCTTAATTTATAAACAAAAATAGGGATTTATTTCCCTGAGTTATATCATATCCACAATGATATCTGTGGGAGTCAGGGGCCAAAGTCTTGAAAATGTGTAGTGAGCCCAGAGAAATATTCTCCGTTGAAGTTGAAATTTGTATTTTCAGACTTTCCTGTTATATACATTTGTCACTCATGCAACAAACGTTTATTAATCACCACTTTCTCTTTATTTTTATCTTTCAATTTTTGTCTTATCCTTTCCCTTTTCCATGTGAGAATATTCTTAAATCATAAGTCAGAAAACTTCAACTACTAGCTATGTAATTAGGCAAGTCTCTGGGCCTTGGTTTCTTTATCTATGAAATGGGGAGGATAATACCTCTTTTACAGAACCCAAAGAGCTGCTGAGTAAATCAAATAGAACAGTTTTATATACAACCTATAATTATATTTACTACTTTTATTGTTTTTGCTGCTTTCATGCTTTTAATTGTTGATGTCTTTCCTTAATAGTGCTTTTTTTTAAAAAAAAATATTTTTCTTTCTGCTGTTTTAGGTTTTCTTCCCTTACCATGATATTCTTTTCGTGCTCCTCTTCCACAAGTGCCACCCTCTTGACTAGTCTTTTGGAAATACCCTGAAAGACCAGTTATTCTATACCTCAGCTCCTTTGGGACTGTCCTATTCCTTTTTCTCTCTTGCCTTGGTGACTTTCTTAAAAGCATGTTTAAAAAAATATTCCCCCGTGGTAAAAGGATAAAAATTCTAGAGAAATATAAACTTGGACCTAGACTGAAACAGATATATAATTGTCCTTTGTTGAAATGGTTTGGCTCTGTGTCCCCAATCCAAATCTCATCTTGAATTATAATCCCATGGTACCCATGTGTCAAGGACAGGACCTGGTGGGAGGTAACTGGATCATGGGGGCCGTTCCCCCATGCTGTTCTTGTGATAGTGAGTTCTCACAAGATCTGATAGTTTTATGTGTTTAACATTTCCTCCTACATACACTTTTTCTCTCTAGCCACCTTGTGAAGAAGGTATCTGCTTCTCTTTCCTCCATAATTGTAAGTTTCCTGAGGCAATCCCAGCCTGGTGGAACTGTGAATCAATGAAACCTTCTCTGTTGATAAATTACCCAGTCTTGGGGATTATCTTTATACCAGTGTGAGAATGGACTAACAGATTTGTTTTGTGGTTTTTGAGACTAAGGTTCATAGTGAATACCAGAAAGGTTTCTAGGGTTCAATTGATCACAGCCTGAATAGTCTCTTCTTATGTTACTGTTGTAATTAGTGGTGTAATAACACCACCAAGGTATTGTCTGTTTTCTCTCACAGCTGGCACTGAGATCAATGCTCTCTCCACTGCACCACATTGTCTCTGCAGAAGTTTTCAGTGTTGCTCTTTTATGAGATGGTCTCTTTAATTAACTCATAGGATTCACAGAATTTGCATCACTCTTGGTTAATATCTACTTTCCAGTGACTTAGTTGTTTATTTTTAAAAGTGACTCTTAGCTCCTTAAGGATGTGGAAAAACTCCATGAAGGAAGAAGTGAATTCAGCACTAAAAGAACAACTTTTTCCCATCTTAACTTTAATGTCATTTCTATTATTTTTATTAAAGAATTCAAAATTGAAATTATTTGTCCATATACATGTTTTAATTATTTTGCAGTGTGTGGCATGTATTCATAAAATATTAGTTTAAGAAACCAAATAGAAGATAGACTGAGTTACTGGCTTACCTTCAGGTCACATAGGAATCACAATCAGGATACAGTCCTTAAGAATCTTAGTTGACACCAGAGATTGTCATTACCCAGGGTCTCTCCTTGGAGGGGACTTGGTGCACTGAAAATGGAGATCATGAAGGCATCCAAGAATGCTCAGAGAATCCCTTGAGAAGCATTGTAATAGTACTTTTCTTATAAAGTGTGAGCATGTATAAGATAACTTCATGAAATGACTATTATGGAGATTTATTTGGGGCTCTTTAGCATCATCATTGGCAGTGGTACTTTAATAGAAAAGCAAACAAACAAAAATCACCTGAGCTGATGAAAACAACTATGGAAGCATCCAGTACAGTATCTAGCAGAGAGGAAGTATTAATTACCTCTTCATTCATGGAAAGAAGGAAAAAGGGGAAGGAGAGAGAGAAGAGATGGGAAAGGCTTTTAAAAACAGATGATATATACTAGAGGCTGGGAAGCATGAGTGGGCGGGTGAAGCAAGGATGAAGAGAGGTAGGTTAACAGGCGCAAACATCAGTTAGATAAAAGGTACAACTTCTATTGTTCAACTGCAGAGTTGAGCAACTATAGTTACAACAATGCGTTATATATTTCAAAATAGCTAGAAGAGAGTAGCTTGAATTGTTCCCAATATATAGAAAAAATAAATAATCAAGTGATAAATACCTCAAATATCCTGATTTGATCATTACACAACCTATGTATGTAACAAAATACCACATCTACCTCCATTAAGATGTAAAATACTATGTATCAATAAAAAGTAAAAATACAAAATTAAAAGCAGATTTTAACAGGCAAAATAACCAGCTAGCATCATAATGACAGGATCAAATTCACACATAAAAATATTAACCTTAAATATAAATGGGCTAAATGTCTCAATTAAAAGACACAGACTGGCAAATTGGATAAAGAATCAAGACCCATCAGTGTGCTGCATTCAGGAGACCCATCTCACGAGCAAAGACACATTTAGGCTCAAAATAAAGGGATGGAGAAATATTTACCATGCAAATGAAAAGCAAAAAAAAAAAGCAGGGGTTGCAATCCTAGCTTCTGATAAACAGACTTTAAACAAACAAAGATTAAAAAAGTCAAAGAGCATTACATAATGATAAAGGAATCAATGCAACAAGAAGAGCTAACTACCTTAAGTATATATGCACCCAATACAGGAGCACCAAAATTCATAAAGCAGGTTCTTAGAGACCTACAAAGAGACTTAGACTCCCACACAATAATAGTGAGAGACTTAACACCCCGCTGTCAATATTAGACAGATGAACAAGACAGAAAATTAACAAGGATATTCAGGAGTTGAACTCAGCTCTAGACCAAGCAGACCTAATAGACATCTACGAACTCTCCACCCCAAATCAATAGAATATACATTCTTCTTAGCACTACATCACACTTATTCTAAAACTGACCACATAATTGGAAGTAAAACACTACTCAGCAATGCAAAAGAACAGAAATCATAACAAACATCTCTCAGACCACAGTGCAATCAAATTAGAACTAGGATTAAGAAAGTCACTCAAAACCACACAACTACATGGAAACTGAACAACCTGCTCCTGAATGACTACTGGGTAAATAATCAAATTGAGGCAGAAATAAAGAAGTTATTTGAAACCAATGGGAACAAAGATACAACATACCAGAATCTCTGAGACACGGCTAAAGCAGTGTTTAAAGAGAAATTTATAGCACTAAATGCCCACAGGAGAAAACAGAAAATATCTAATATTGACACCCCATCCTAACATCACAATTAAAAGAACTAGAGAAGCAAGAGCAAACAAATTCAAAGGCTAGCAGAGACAAGAAATAACTAAGATCAGAGTAGAACTGAAGGAGATAGAGAGATGAAAAGCCCTTCAAAAAAATCAAGGAATCCAGGAGCTGGTTTTTTGAAAAGATCAACAAAATAGCTAGACTATTAGCCAGAATAATAAAAAAGAAAAGAGAGAAGAATCAAATAGACCCAATCAAAAATGATAATGTGGATATCACTACTGATCCCATAGAAATATGAACTACCATCAAAGAATACTATAAACACCTATATGCAAATAAACTAGAAAATCTAGAAGAAATGGATAAATTCCTGGACACATACACCCTCCCAAGACTAAACAAGGAAGAAGTTAAATCTCTGAATAGATCAATATCAAGTTCTGAAATTGAGGAAGTAATTAATAGCCTACCAACCAGAAAAAGCCAAGGACGAGAAGGACTCATGCTGAATTCTACCAGAGGCACAAAGAGGAGCTGGTATTGTATTCCTTCTGAAACTATGCCAAACAATAGAAAAAGAGGGACTTCTTTCAACCTCATTTTATGAGGCCAACTTCATCCTGATACCAAAACCTGGTAGAGACACAACAAAAAAAGAAAAATTCGGGACAATATCCCTGATGAATTTTGATGTGAAAATCCTCAATACTGGCAAACAGAATCCAGCAGGACATCAAAAAGTTTATCCACCATGATAAAGTTGGCTTCATATCTGCAATGCAAGGCTGGTTCAACATATGCAAATCAATAAACATAATCCATCACATAAACAGAACCAAAGACAAAAACCTCATGATTATCTCAATAGATGCAGAAAAGGCCTTCAATAAAATTCAACATCCCTTCATGCTAAAAACTGTCAATAAACTAGGTATCAGTGGAACATATCTCAAAATAATAAGAGCTATTTATGACAAACCCATAGCCAATATCATACTGAATGGGCAAAAGCTGGAAGCATTCCCTTTGAAAGTGGCACAAGACAAGGATGTCCTCTCTCACCACTCCTATTCAACATAGTATTGGAAGTTCTGTCCAGGGCAATCAGGCAAGAGAAAGAAATAAAGCGTATTCAAATAGGAAGAGAGGAAGTCAAACTGTTTCTGTTTGCAGATGACATGATTGTATATTTAGAAAACCTCGTTATGTCAGCCCAAAATCTCCTTACGCTGATAAGCAACTTCAGCAAAATTCAGGATAAAAGATCAATGTGCACAAATTACAAGCATCCCTATACACCAATAATAGACAAACAGAGAGCCAAATCATGAGTGAACTCCCATTCACAATTGCTACAAAGAGAATAAAATTCCTAGGAATACAACTTACAAGTGATGGGAATGATGTCTTCAAGCAGAACTACAGACCACTGCTCCAGGAAATAAGAGAGGACACAAACAAATGGAAAAACATTCCATGCTGATGGATAGGAAGAATCAATATTATGAAAATGGCCATACAGCCCAAAGTAATTTATAGATTCAATGCTATCGCCATCAAGTTACCACTGACATTCTTTACAGAATTAGGAAAACTACTTTAATTTCATATGGAACCAAAGAAGAGCCTGTATAGCCAAGACAATCCTAAGCAAAAAGAACAAAGTTGGAGGCATCATGCTACCTGACTTCAATCTATACTACATGGTTACAGTAACCCCAACTGCATAGTACTGGTACCAAAACAGATATATAGACCAATGGAACAGAACAGAGCCCACAGAAATAATGCCACACATCTACAACCATCTGATCTCTGACAAACCTGACAAAAACAAGCAATGGGGAAAGGATTCCCCATTTAATAAATAGTGTTGGGAAAACTGGCTAGCCATATGCAGAAAACTGAACCTGGACCCCTTCCTTATACCTTATACAAAAATTAACTCAAGATGGATTAAACACTTAAACATAAGATCTAAAACCATAAAAACCCTAGAAGAAAACCTTGGCAATATCATGCAGGATAGGCATGGGCAAAGACTTCAAGATAAAAAAACAAAAGCAATGGCAACAAAAGACAAAATTGACAAATGGGATCTAATTAAACCAAAAAGCTTCTACATAGCAAAAGAAACTATTATCAGAGTGAACAGGCGACCTACAGAATGGTAAAAAATTTTTGCAATCTATCCATCTGGCAAAGGCTAATGTCCAGAATCTACAAGGAACTTAAACAAATTTACAAGAAAAAAACAACCCCATCAAAAAGTGGGCAAAGGATAGGAACAGACACTTCTCAAAAGAAGACATTTATGTGGCCAAGAAACACATGAAAAATAGCTTATCATCACTGGTCATTAGAGAAATGCATATCAAAACCACAATGAGATACCATCTCATGCCAGATAAAATGGTGATCATTAAAAAGTCAGGAAACAACAGATGTGGGAGAGGATGTAGAGAAATAGGAATACTTTTACACTGTTGGTGGGAGTGTAAATAAGTTCAACCTTTGTGCAAGACAGTGTGGTAATTCCTCAAGGATCTAGAAATAGAAATACTATTTGACCCAGCATTACTGGGTATATACTCAAAAGATTATAAACCATTCTACTATGAAGACGCATGCACACATATGCTTAGTGCAGCACTGTTCACAATAGCAAAGACTTGGAACCAACCCAAATGCCCATCAATGATAGACTGGATAAAGAAAATGTGGCATATATACACCATGGAATACTGCACAGTCATAAAAAAGGATCAGTTCATGTCTTTTGCAGGGACATGGCTGAAGCTGGAAACCATCATTCTCAGCAAACTAACACAGGGACAGAAAACCAAACACCACATGTTCTCACTCATGAGTGGGAGTTGAACAATGAGAACATGGATACAGGGAGGGGAACGTTACACATCAGGGCCTGTTGGGGGATAGGGAACAAGGGGAGGGATAGCATTAGGAGAAATACCTAATGTAGATGACCAGTTGATGGGTGCAGCCAACAACCATGGCACAAGTATATCTATGTAACAAACCTGCACATTCTGCACATGTATCCCAGAACTTAAAGTACTTAAAGTGTTAAAAAACAAACAAACAAAACAAAAACAGAAAAAAATGGACCTAAATTCAAGTTGCTTCGTGTTTCAAATATAATGTAAATAGAATATTTGGGTCTCTGCAAATCATTTTATTTGTAGAATTTGTGACTTACACTTGGAGTGGCATTTTGAATTTAACTTTGAGGAGTTATTGAAAAACCTATTTATATTGGGCTTTCTTCTCATACATTTGTATACCTGAAATAACTTGGCCTTTTAGCCAAAATGTGTAAGGTCTATTTTA